CCACGTTCCCTCGTTCTCCAGGAACCTGGTTGGTGTCGGCTGTCTCTAGGACCTCGGCGTCACCACCACGTTCCCCGGGCACGAGCGGTTCGCTGTCTGTTCTGAGGCTGTGTCAGGTTCCCCCCTTGCAACGTTCCCCCGGGACCTGGTGTCCGGTCTGTTTACCCTCGACACCGCTTCCCCCCCTGGTTGGTGCGTCCTCCCAGGTCGCTGCAGCTTGCTCGTGTCGGTCCCTCACTCACCCGTCCCTTCTCTGGCACCACCGCTTAGGTCACCCTGCTCTCCCGCGTCTGCGTCACATGTCCCAGCACGGTCTTGTCTTAGGTCTCCCCGCGTCGCTCCCTGCACTTCCTCCCTCAACTACGCCACCGTGCACGCCTTGCGTCGAGGGTCGGCTCCGCCGTGCTCCTCACTCCTCCTCGCTGCGCCCTGCTACTGCCCCCCTTCAGACCCTGCACCTGGACGTTTGGGGCCCTGCCCCAGTCCCCGGACCGCGCGGTGAGCGCTACTTCCTTGTGCTCGTCGACGACTACACGCGCTACACCACGGTGTTTCCCCTGGAGCGGAAGGCCGACGTGCCCGACGTTCTTCTCCCGTGGGTTGTGGCTGCGCGTCTCCACCGCGGTCTCCCCGCGTTGTGTCTCCACTCCGACCGTGGCGGCGAGTTCGCCTCTGGTCGGCTTGGACAGTTCTGTCGTGCGGAGGGCATCACCCAGTCATACACCTTGCCGGACTCGCCACAGCAGAATGGGGTTGCTGAGCGCCGCATCGGCTTGGTCATGGAGGTCGCCCGTACCTCCATGATCCATGCCGATGCCCCCCATTTTCTGTGGCCGTTCGCTGTTCGCTACGCTGCTCACCAGCTTAACCTGTGGCCACGCTCCCAGCGGCCGCAGGTTTCGCCGACCCTCCTTTGGACCGGGTCCCCCGGTGACGCGTCTGCATTCCACGTCTGGGGCTGCCTTGCTCACGTTCGTGCCTCTGGCACGGACAAGCTCACTGCCCGCACTGTCCCCTGTGTCTTCCTCGGTTTCCCCCTGGACTCGTCTAACTGGCTTTTCTACCACCCGCCGTCTCACCGCTTCCTCCACTCTCGTGACGTCACCTTTGACGAGTCTGTCTCCTTCTACCGCCGCTTCCCTCACCGGTGTCTCCCAGTTGCCCCCCCCCTGTTCCTTGCTCCCTCTCCCCCGGTAGCCCCTGCCCCTCTCCCGCCTCGTCCTGCCTTGTCTGGTGTCTCTCACGTCACTCCCGTCCCGTCGGTTGTCCCCGTTGAGGAGTCTGCTGACTCTGGTGGTACCCCCGGTCTGTCCTTGCCGCGTCCCCCTTCCCCAGTGCCTCCGCCCCCACTGTCGCAGTCGCCGACCCCGCTGCAGCCGCCGCCGCCGTCGCCGCCGCAGCCGTCGCCGATGTCGCCGCCGCCGCAGCCGTCGCCGCCGCAGTCGTCGCCGCCACTGCCGCTGCCGCTCTTGGCCCCTGGGGGTGCTGGTGTGGAGGAGGGTGTTCGTCCTGCGGCTTCTGGGGGTGTCGCTGGTGTTGGCGGGAGTTCTCGCTCTGGGGGTGTTGGTTCTTGGGGTGCTTGCTGTTGAGTGTTCTGCCGACGGTCGTTCTGCCTCTGCTGGTCCGAGAGTTCCGGCCCAGCCGTCGTCGCCGCCGCAGCAGCCGTCGCCGCCGGTCTCCGCTCTCCGCCTGCTCGGCCATCCCTCCCCGGACCGCAAGACGGTGTCTCTTCACCGCCTGCTGACCTCCCTGTCTACAGTCCTGTGTTCCCGCCGCCGGACTCGTCTCCGGCCCGTCTTCCTCCTCGTTCCCCTCCTGTGTCTCCTCCGCTGTCCCCTGACCCTACCCCTCCGTCTCACATTTGGGCTCGCCGTCCCTCCCGTGCTCGTCCAGTCTCTCCTGTCCTGCGCTCCCCCCCTATGTTGCTGCGACTTTGGGACACTGTGCCTCTCAGTGGATAGCTCCCATGGACCGTAGACAGGGAGGCGCCCCAGGCGGTACCCTGAGTCTAGCTGCCAGGCGGCTCTCAGTCGATGGTCGGTGGCTCTTCAAGGTGAAGCGCCCCCCAGGAGAGCCGCCTGTCTTCAAGGCGTGCTACGTGGCCAGAGGTTTCAGTCAGCGCGAGGGGGTTGACTTCTTCCAGACCTTCGCCCCGACCCTGAAGATGACCACTCTTCGGGCGCTGCTACACGTAGCAGCACAGCGTGACTACGAGCTTCACTCCCTCGACTTCTCTACTGCCTTTCTTCAGGGCAGCCTACACGAGCAGGTCTACCTGCGCCGACCACAGGGCTTCACTGGTACCTTCCCTCCTGGGACCCAGTGGCTTCTCAGGCGCCCGGTCTACGGCCTGCGTCAGGCTCCCCGCGAGTGGCACGACACGCTACGTGCCACGTTAGCAGACCTGCAGTTCTTTCCGTCCTCTGCTGACCCTTCACTGTTTGTGCGTTCGGGCTAGACTCCGTTCTACATCCTTGTCTACGTAGACGACCTGGTCTTCGCTACTCCTGACAGGGACGCACTGGCCTCTGTGAAGGCCGAGCTGCTGAAGAGACACACCTGCACTGACCTTGGAGAGCTGCGTCGCTATCTTGGCCTGCAGATCTCTAGGGACAGAGCAGCACGCACCATCACTCTGACCCAGTCACACTTGGTGCGTCAGGTCCTTCAGAGGTTCGGTCTTCAGTTCTCCTCCGCACAGCCCACACCTCTACCCGTAGACCATGGGCTCTCTGCTCCCGTTCCCGAGGAGCCAGTACAGCCCAGTGGCCCCTACGCAGAGCTGGTGGGTTGCCTCATGTACCTGATGACTTGCACTCGCCCAGATCTCGCATACCCTCTCAGCATCCTGGCTCGCTTTGTGGCCACAGGCAGACACCGACCTCAGCACTGGTCTGCCGCTAAGAGGGTTTTGCGTTATCTTGCTAGTACATCGGGCATGGGGTTGGTGCTAGGAGGACGCAGGCCAGTGGTCCTTACTGGGCACACAGACGCTTCTTGGGCAGACGACGCTGAGACGCTCAGGTCGTCGCAGGGCTACTGTTTCAGCCTTGGTTCGGGTGCTATCTCTTGCAGATCCACTCGCTCGTCGTCTGTGGCTCAGTCTAGCTGTGAGGCTGAGATCTACGCTGGTGCCATGGCGGCACAGGAGCTCCGCTGGCTGACCTTCTTGCTCACAGACTTAGGTGAGCGGCCTAGCTCTGCCCCGGTCCTGTACGTTGACAACAGGGCCATGATACTCCTGTGTCAGGAGCCTCGGCTTGAGGGCAGAGCGAAGCATATCCAGCTGTGGTACTTCCTCCTGCGCGAGCTACAGCAGCGCCGTCAGGCCCGCGTAGTTCTCTTGGCCTCTGGTGCCAACACAGCTGATATCTTCACTAAGGCGCTTGCGCCTAAAGATCATCAGCGGCACTGTGTACAGCTTGGTCTTGTTCCTGTAGCTGCTCCCCTGTTAGGATCCTGATTGTGTACTCTCTATTATATATGCCTGTCAGACTGGCCTTGTGGCGTTAGCTCCAGAGGCTGGACTAGTAGTGCCATCCTGGTTTGCTTTAGTTTTGGTTGTATTCTTGCTGACTGGTCTCCAGACCCCTGCCTCAGTGGTTGGACTAGTAGTGCCGCCCTGAGATGTTTGCTTCTTGTTTAGTTTCACCCCTTGTCTAGCCTAGGGGGTGTGTCAACTTATACATATTAGCTATGTAGAAGTTATAGGCTAGACTGAGGTATGCTTCTAGTGAGTACAACCAACTAGTATTTGTTCTGGGTTTCCACCTCTAGTTATCATTCCTTGTCACGTTAACAAAACTGGCCTGATATGCAGTGCTGCAAAAGGCAGGGCTCAAGCACCGATACCAGGGATTCTCTTCCTGATACCTGAAAAGTAGGAATACGCCCTAAGAGTGCATTTCTGACCTAATCAATTGACTCCAATTTCCTGTCTCTACTAGTTGGCGTCCCAAAGCCATAATGGATTTATTTGAACGTGTGTAACACTTTCTAAAAATGCGTATTGTGAAAGTGACGATGCTTGTAGTGAAGCAATGGCAACAGCGAATGGCTAAATGCTCTTCGCCGAGTATATAAGACGTAGCGGAGGCGATTTGGCCTCCACCCACGTCTTCATTTAGAATTTTCAAAAGGTTTTACTTCATTCTAGTCCAAATGCACCATCATTCCCGTCTGCCACCAACGCTTACTAGGCAGCCATAGTTGCGCCACCATTCAATCATGACGAGAAATCGCTCTCGCATAGGAAATTCCTTCCATAATAATTTCGTCAAGCAAAGCGGCTCGTCATGCCAATCCTGTGCGCGATGCACCGAGACAAAAGACGGCCGCACATGTGGCTTTGCATAGCCGGACGCGCGAGCCACCCACGCGGCAGGCACGGTTGGCGAAATCTTGCCGGCGGGCGGGCGATGTCGACGATCGCTACACCAGCCTTCCGCACGACCGCGTCAACAGTGGCGCCCAGCACACCAAACGAACTGCACCGGCCGCTGGCACTGGCGCACCCTACGCACATTTTATGTATTCATAAAAAGGCATAACACCCAGCTGCTGTCATTTCCTTACTCACCCATTTTTATCGACTTTTGTTCGTTATTTCCAGTGGCAGAAACAACAGATGGACGCCAAACTGAATAAGGGCGTCTGGGCTCAGAGGTGCCTCATTTCCCAAATTCCAGAGAACTAGGGTCAGGGAGCCCGTTCACTTGCCCATGAGGCGTTCCGCCACATGGCAGATGATTTTCCCATTTTGTGAACATCTAGAGTGGATATTGACAAACGACTTTCCTAAATTCTTTCATTTCTGTGGCAAAGGAAGCAATTGTCGTTGGAGGAATATGTGCCCTTATCTGCATGAATTTCCAACAAATTTCGCCTTGTCGTTGCACGTAAAATCAGATTGTACATTATCCTTTGATAGAACCTCTGAGTGTCGATGGTACCCCTGAGCCCTATCATGCCATGGAGTCTGAGACTAGCTCGTCACCACCACGCCATGAGTACTGTGAGTAATGCGGGAGGTCTTATTTGCACATACATCATATTGAAACGAACCACATATTTAAGGACAGTATAAGTGGTAACTCTATCGAATATACTTCAACACATCAAGCCCCTACACATCACATATATTTGGGGGGATTTTGGTGTGTCAGTGCGAGTCTTAGGAGGACGCCAGACTCAACTTGCCCACTACGTGATGACATGATATGCTTGATGACACGCGTCCCCAAGTTGTCGGGCCTCTCTGGCACATCTAGTCTAACCCCTCACTCGTGTATGGAAACGGCAGAGGTCAACCCACGCACGTGTATTCGGCTAACTAACAATAGACAATGCCTTGGTTGAGAATCGAAGGTGTTGTACAAAAAAGCCTAATCCCTACGTCACGATGTGAACAATAGTGAGGGCATACACACGTCGTAGACAGTTTGCATCGAGCGCCCCAAAGCCTAACAACGAATACGAGGCCTTGTTTCACCAGCGAGTCATAAATAAAGTCACACGGGTTTAGAAGCGTATTATGCGCCCAATCTCAATCATCTCTGTTCCAAATCATGTGTCTATACCCCACATTATCAGATAATGCTCAACGCGATCAGATCTTCCGCTGGCAGGAGAGACCCATATTTCACACATCGAGGCTTGCGCCAGCAAGTTAGGGCGTATTCCTAAAGTACGGTAGCATCAAATGTGTAACCAACGAACACTTGCACAGTACAGGTGGTTCAAGTGTCGAATTGTCCAATCCAATGCGGTTCCGTTAAGTACAGTATGCATTTCATTATGCTTTTGATTCTGACGCTACTCCTGAACTACGTCCCTACCCTCATTACATGGTATTCACGCTATCACTTATTCCTAAGATTTGGCACAGGCTCCTTTCGTACCCCATGTCGATCGCTCAATGAATACGCAATTGCTGCATTTCCATTCATCCCTTGAAATTGCCAAGCCACCGGCATAAGTGTTGCTATAATCTCACTCCCTCCGCACACCACATAATTTTCAGGCCACAAGTATGGTAGTTCACTAGCCCCTCTTCCCCACCCCCTAGCACTAAGGACGAATACGGAGCACTCCCTTGCCCAAAGAACGCCCACCTTTGCTTTGGGCTAACAAGGCTTTCCACTTAGAGAAGTCGCCCGACCATGCACCACCACGACCAAAACAACATCACCTTTCTTTCATCCCCACCCCCCCATACAGGTGTTACATCAAAGAAGTCAGCGCACGACACACGCACGCACAACATACCTAACATCTCCGTCATGTAGGCCCAGCATGCGTTAGCAGCAGTTTGTCTCAACCAGATATTCCTAGCACTGAAAGAGACCAGCAGCGGCATCGACAAAGAATATTACCACAAGCGCCATCAATCCCTCCCATCCAGGGACGAGCACCCAAGTTACATGACCTCTCACTACCACATCTCCCGCCACCTCTACCCGGGTGTCGGCCTCTCCCCGAACACATGTCTCAGGAAGACCCATTTAAAATGAAGCACATTGCCATTGCTACAACGAAAGCAAGCTTTCTCAATATGGATTTTTTTTTAAGTGTGTAACACTTTCTAATAATGCATATTGTGAAAGTGAAGCTGCTGCAACAGCGAATTGCTAAATGGTATTCGCCGAGTACATAAGACGTAGCGGATGCCATTTGGCCTCCACCCACGTTTTCAATTCAAAATTTCAAAAGGCTTTACTTCCCACCCACCCACTAAAGATTCTTGTTGTATGCATGTGTTCGACTAGAATGTTGTAATTGCCCATTTGAAACGAAGCACGTTGCCATTGCTACAACGAAAGCATGCTTTCTCAATTTATGCATTTGCGAAAACTAGGCTCACACATTGGTTAAGACATTGTCAAAGTGCATCTGTGTGTGTGTGTGTGTGAGAGAGAGAGAGAGAGAGAGAGAGAGAGAGAGAGAGAGAGAGAGAGAGAGAGAGAGAGAGAGAGAGGGAGAGAGAGAGAGAGAGAGGAGAGAGAGAGAGAGAGAGAGAGAGAGAGAGAGAGAGAGAGAGAGAGAGAGAGAGAGCTATGAAGACTCTCTTCTTCACCCCTATTCTTCCAAAAAAAAAAAAAATAGCACTTGGCAAGCTCTCTGGTTTTGGCGGCCGGCTCGATCTTCATTCGCTCGTGGTGGGCTAAGTGTCAGGCGGGGAAGATACAGGCGAAGCTCGTCAAAGTCGCACAAGATTTTAGGGTGCCGGGGATTCAATCGGTCAAGTATTTCGCTGTCCCTCGCCACGGGCAAATGAGGCTTTTGCACGAGCACACGGCGAAATGGGTGGGTATTTGTGGGAGGGGCTTGTTGCCAGTGTGCGACTCTTGTGAAGCGATCAGGCAACGGCGGTGCACAGTTCCGTGGCGACGAAACCTCGTCGGCAACGACTTGTCCCTTGCTATATGCTGGTCGCAGAACGCAATCATGAGTGACTCAAACGGATCTCCCATTGCCCGTATATCGGGGGTTTTGGGAATGGATTCTGATTGGGCGCCAGGTTGAGCTACGATAAGGTTGGGCATCGACTGCTCGATGAGCTCGGGCAGCCTGCAACCGCACAACCAACAGGATCCAACTGGTCTACGCACCCGAGCAGAATCCTTGGTCCGGAAGGCGAATTTGGCGAAGGCGCTGACAGCGTTACACCCGACTGCAATAGCACCAACGACGGAATCAACTCTCGCGAACCTTCGCCAGAAACACCCCTCGGATGACGCACCAATCCCTGCACACTTGGAAGCTCGCTTGACATCCGACCTGGCAGTCAACCACACAGACTTCAGGCGAATTCTCGCCAAATGCCCACGTGGAGTTGGAGCGGGACCGTCAGGCACATGCCTAGAGCACATCCGCGATCCGGCATTGGCAAACAGTCAAATCTTCAATTTACTGCTCGGATGCGTAAACTACACCCTGGGAACTACACTCCCACCGTCGATTCGGTCAACCATCCTCCCATCGAAGCTCATCGCAATTCGAAAGCCGGGCTGAGTAGTTCGCCCAATCGCAGTTGGCGAAAGTTACATTCGCATTGTCGCTGAAGTCGCAGTGTATAAACAAGCACCCATCACGCGCAACTTCTTTTTGCCATTTCAGTACGGGGTAGCAGTCTCGGGTGGGCAGGAGTGCATCATCCACGTGACGAGAACCCTGCTGCAAGAGAATCCGACACACGTCGCTCTCCAACTGGATGTCGAAAATGCCTTGAACAACGTCTACCGCACGGCGTTTCTACAAGTGCTGTTCTGGAGCGGCCTACAGCAGCTACTTCCCTTGACCCTGACTCTGTACGGGGCACCAACGACTCTCCTACTAGATGCAGCATTCGAAGCAGAGCCACTACCTAGCGCGCGTGGAGTGCGCCAAGGGGACCCGCTAGGGCCGTTGCTGTTTGCAGCGGCCATCCAGCCGATTCTAGCGCGAGTGGGAGCACAATGTGGTGAGGTCGCCATCCTGGTGTACGTCGACGATATCACCATCATAGGACCGCCCGAGGAGGCGGCAACTGCTTTCTAGTACCTCCAAGAAGGCTTGCGAGGGGCAGGGCTGACCTGCAACCTCGCCAAATTGGCAGGCTGGTCAGCCGACGAAAGTAGCCGTGCCCTACTACACGACAGCATCATCTGGAAAGAGGACGGGCTCCGTGTGCAGTCCGGTCGGAACTCCGGAATTCTGCACGTCCCACCTCGCCGCGGAGCTACGGAGGGCAGCCACACCACTACCCCAGCTGGCAAGCCTCCACCCACAACACTCCCTCCTCCTCCTCACACGCTGCATCTCCTAACGGGCGACATTCCTGCTACGCTCCACCCCAGCATACGCCCTCCCCCTCCACACATGGCGCGAGTGGAGCGAGGAGCTACTACGCATGGCTCTGCGAGCAGCCGACGTCCAAGTCCCGCGGGCTGAGCTCGACTGGAGCCTAGCATGGCGCTAGGCCACCCTCCCTATTGCCCTGGGTGGGCTGGGCACCGTGTACCCGCTCTCTGAAGCCCCGGCCGCATACCTAGCCTCGACACTTGCAGCGGGTCAGCTCCTTGCCTCCCTAGGCCTAGCTGACTCGCCACTTGCAGAAGCAGCTGCAGCCCTCGGGGGAAATTCAGGGGAGGACCACCCACTACGCACCACACATGCGAACATGCGCAACCGACTCCCCGACCCGGCCCGCCTCACCTGGGATGACGCAAGAGGAACAGGGGCGGCCAATGCCCCCCTGTAGCAGCAGCTGTCCCGCGAAATCAACAAAAACCGAGCAGAAGAACTCTTCGCAGACACATTGCTAGATAGGCCCGGGCACGAGAACGCACATGGGACACGCCTGACCAGCCTCCGCGAGACGGGCGCCGGCAACTGGCCACTGGCCATCCCAACCCGCCCGGATCTCACCTTCACCCTGGGGGAATTTGGCACAGCACTGGCCTTTCGCCTAGGACTGCCCCTCCCAATTCCCTGCAGATGCACCTACAAAAGGGAGACCATCGGGGACCCAAGCTTGCCAAACCACCTCCTTCATTGCAAGTACGGACCCCATGTTAAGGGCCTTCATAACGCCCTAGTTTTCTCCACACGACGCATGGCTCGGGAAGCACGCTTCATCACCTACTATGAAACGACCCAGTTCAGCGTACCAGCAAACCGCAAGAGGGCAGATTTGGAGGGGCGGAACGAAGAAAGCGGGCGACATGGGTCACAGACGTCACGGTCACGGATATGGTGCTACAATGACGAGACAAGGACGCGGGAAGCCAGCCTGGTTGGGCGGTACGGGAGGCGGCTAAGGCAAAGGAACGTCTTGGCTGTGGAGACTTATGGCGTTTGGCACCCTCGACGGTAGACTTCCTCAAAATGCTTGCTTCCTCAAAACGCGGCCATGGTCAGATTCTGCTCGAACGACCTAACCACCCGGCCAAGCGGCTCTACTCCCACTTCCGGCAGCGGTGGTCGGTCCTACTACAGCGGCTTCAGGCTGGAACGATCATCTCACGCTCAGGGAAGCACTTCAGGCACCCTACCCACCTCTTCAGTCGGACCCCTGGCACCAAGCCTTGGGGACCTGTATGGCATACTCGAGGTGGAAGGAATCTAGGGGGGTAGGACATTGGGCAGAGGGAAGCTAGACACAGCTTTGCAAGTCTCACAGGTTTGCAGTTTTTGCAAGCTCAGGGTGATTACGATAAGTTTTGGCTCAGCACCGTCGGCTTTGTCCTTGTACCTCTCTGATTATCAGTGAGAATGACCGCTTGAGAGAGAGAGAGAGAAGAGAGAGAGAGAGAGAGAGAAGAGAGAGAGAGAGAGAGAGAGAGAGAGAGAGGGGGGGGGGGGGGGGGGGGGGGAAACTCTTGGATATGAAATACCACGCCATCAGATTAGCAGTTGCGGGGGGGGGATAGGCTGAACTCCACTCCACCAGCTATATTTATATCCAAGTCCGTCCAGCACTGTGTACTAGGTTGAATGTTCAGCCTTTTTTAAGACCCTTGGCTGATTTTCCAGCGTTCTCATAAGTACCCGCTCTGAAGTTTTAGCCTTTTTTTCTTAGTGTACCTTGATGCCTCAACCTTTTCATAGGGGAGTGCTCTGAATCCAGTAGTTATGTGTTTCGGGGGTTGGAAGGACTTGTATGTATGTCAATATATATTTTGTATATGTTATAGGCTAGATAGGTGCATGCTCATATAGAATACAACACCTTAGGTTATATTCCCTTGTACCCCATCATTCTAGTCAACGTTTCTCTGAAATGGTATCACGCTAGGTTAGGATCCCGCCCACCCGCGCTTCCGCCCTTGTCCTAGCCCTAGCCCAAGCTGCCCGTCGCTAGCCGCCGCTAGCCGCCCGTCGCCCGTAGCCGCCGGCTGACCACCGCCCGTCGATCGCAGCTCGCTGGCCGCCTGTCGACGCTGACCGCCCGTAGCTGCCAGCCGCCCATAGCGCCAGCCTGCTGGCCGCCCTTAGCCGCCAGCTGCCCGCCGCCTGTCGCTGCCGCCCGTCGCCGCCAGCTGCCTGTAGCCGCTGGCCGCCTCTCGCCGCCGTAAGCCGCTGGCCGCCTGTCGCCGCTGGCCACCTGTAGCCGCCAGCAGCCCATAGCCGCCAGCCCGCTGGCTGCCCTTAGCCACCTGCTGCCCGCCGCTCGCTGCCGCTCGTAGCCGCCAGCTGTCCATAGCCCGCTGCCCGCCTGTCACCGCCTGTAGCCGCCAGCCGTCCGCCGCACTGGCCGCTCGTCGCCGCCAGCCCGCCAGTCCCTGCTGGCCGCCCGTTGCCGCCAGCCCGCCATTGCCGCTGGCCGCCCGTAGCCGCCAGCTGACAGTAGCCGCTGGCCGCCTGTTGCAAGTAGCCGCCCGTACCCGCTGGCCGCCCGTAGCCGCCAGCCGCCCATTGCAGCCAGCCGCACATCGCCGCTGGCCGCCCGCTGCTGCCAGATGCCTGT